GCACCGACTTTTGTAATGTCTAAAACCTGGTCCAAAACTTATTTTTGCCCACTTTGCAAAAGGAATGATTACTCAGCTAAGCATCATGTCATGTAAATAAGTGACATACATTTGAAAAGGGGAAAATGTGACTTCATTATACAGTCAATGAAAATGATGCAGTCATCACTGGTTTTACGGTTTAACGATTTATTTGCTCGTTGCGTAGTTTTTGATACGCACTGTATTACAGATGGAAAGCATGATTAGTTTTGGGTACTTAGAAACCATACACAGTGCGATATATAGATCAGCTCTAACATATGAATGATTGTTGGTATTTGGAAACATACATACCATGTATCCGAGTACCATCCTTTAAGATGTCCTCTTAACATGAAACAAAAGAAATACTAGAGAGAGACTTTAATTGAATTAAGATGTATTTTTCTATATTGATGGAATGTGCAAAAGCGGCTGACAAACTTGCTTAACGGAAAGCTAAATCCTTATTTATTTCGTGCTGGTATAGTGATATATTTGTATATATTTACATGTATTACATACCTAGCGAAGCATTTGTATGGAAGTCAATGGGAAAGTTAGCGAGCTATATCCACCGATATTGCCCGATTACCCCGATATAGCCCGCTTACCTCGTTTTGATATTAGATTTATTTAATAACCATGATAATATCATGACGTCACGTCATTGATACAAAGTAACCATGGGAACAAAGGCATGTAATACATCAGTTATGTCACTATGACGTGAAATATGCCTTCGTTCTTGCCCAAATATAGAGCCTCCCAAGGTCGGCCTATATTGGGAGAACTCAGGCATATTTCACGTCATAGTGACATAACCTCTAAATATTTTATACCAAAATATGCCCTTTGGTGTCCTAGTATTTATCATAATGTAACTTTTGTAAATACTTTTCAGAGACAAAATAAATAAATTCGTTTAAAGAAAAGAGAAACATGTCAAAATGGGACAGAACCCGGTGATATATCATCGATTTCTCAAACTAGGAGTGTTTTTGATTCACTAATTCTTGATAAGAATATGCAAGGAATATATAAGCACAAATGCCAAAGGGAAGGGTGACCAAAAACTTTAAAGAAACCCAACAAGAAAAGCAAACTGTAAGTGTAAATCTGTCATAAGAAAAGTAGACCCTATATATCCCAAAACCATAATCTAACGTGAAAAGAAACAATGTCTAACATCCCCCTCCCCCCCCCCTCCAATCGAGAACCAATATTACAATCCAGGACCAGAACACCAAGGGACATTTCATTCATACTGAAGTCATTACAATACATGTTGAAGAAAAATTGAAAAAATTGATAGCCAATACTCATAACATCAAAAATAGTTGTAGATACTAGTGCTCATAAAAGATAGAGTATTCAGTCTCAAATGATGTGGGATAGATAAAATCCAGTCTCGAAGTCCATAGGCAATTCAAAGTTTGATTGATTGATTGTTTATGCAGTGTTTATCCAAGTTTAATCAACATGTACATAAACAATTAATCCAACAAATTTTTAAGCAAACGTGCCAAATGGAGTACGCCTGTCTAAAGGAAAACTAACACCAACAATCCCAAACAATATTCTAAAGTGAACGGAAAAGTATCATAATAGACACAGTCCGGGACCATAAAACCAAGGGACATTTCATTCATTGAAGTCATTACAATACGTAAACATCCATCCGTAAAACAAACGCCATTAGCCATTGAACACAATATTTCACAATGGTCATTAGGAGATATCTATGGCTTATTTCGATCCATATTTATCAACTTTTAATGACTTAGCCGGAAACTTGAAACTTCAGAATTAGTGATTCGTGTTTCTAAGTGAAGCGGGCGTAGAAAGTTTTTAAATATTTTACATGTACAGCCTTGGCCTTAGAGTTTTATTACTTAGACTTAATGTCTTGATTTCAAATATTAATATATCATGCCCTGTTGCATCTAATACATAGAATATCACTATAAAAAATGAAGAAATTCATTATATCAGAATTGAAAACGGAACGAAATATTGTTACAGGACACAGAAAGAAAAATAAAACATTCAAGAATACACCCTGTTAGAAATACAACCCCAAAAAGTCTAAAGATCTAAGACTTAAAACTGTATTTCCAAACTTCACGTGTATATTGGCAATGAACTCACAATTCTTTCACTTGGCACCTTTTGAGGTGGATCCCGGCTATGGCATTAATGGTTGAGAAATAGGGATCGAAACCAGCCATAGTTTTCTCCTGATGACCATTGTGAATCGTTGTGTTTTACGGATTATGATGACGGCTTTGCGAACGGATGTTGACCCTTTGAATTGCCTATGGACTTCTAGACTGGATTTTATCTATCCCACATCATTTGAGACTGAATACTCTATCTTTACGAGTACTAGTATCTACAACTATTTTTGATGTTATGAGTATTGGCTATCAAATTTTTCACTTTTTCTTCAACATATATTGTAATGATTTCAGTATGAATGAAATGTCCCTTGGTGTTCTGGTCCTGGATTGTGATATTGGTTCTCGATTGGAGGGGGGAGGGGGATGTTAGACATTGTTTCTTTTCACGTTAGATTATGGTTTTGGGATATATAGGGTCTACTTTTCTTATGACAGATTTACACTTACAGTTTGCTTTTCTTGTTGGGTTTCTTTAAAGTTTTTAGTTACCCTTCCCTTTGGCATTTGTGCTTATATATTTAACAATCACAAAGCCCATCATCAGCCAATGTCCCATATTTACATGCTTATCTTATATTGATGCGTGGATATCTCACAAATTGCTATTGTGACTTTTGAAGCTATTGGTCAACAAGCTATACTATACCAACAGAAAATATGTTTGGATACTACTTTTCTAACTTAGGAAAGAATGAAAGAAGATTAGATCAAATCACGTAGCTTTGAATGACATTAAAGATATTTTTAATGCATTTAATAATACAAGGGGTGATCAACAAACAACACAAATAGATCTCAGTTTGAAATAATAGAAGCTTGAACACTAAACTTGACACATTGTATTACCAAAAACACTCATAAATATTTCCAGAAAATGTCAGGCACAAACATTAATATATGCCAAAGTTATAGTGACCATAGTAACCTGTGGCATGGTTACCTGAAGCAGGTCTTAACTATTAAGCAACAATAAGGATTTAGCACCCGGCAACCTAAGTCATGGGTACCTGAAGCACCTGAAATATACAATGTCACAATTTTTTTAATAATCATTTTTCATGCTCATAACTAATGCCCAGTTCGTGTTAAATAGTAACAGTTCCTTCAACCATATTCAACTGTTCTACTTCTTTAATCATCTCCACTGTGTGTCTTCTTCTTGGAGCACCTGTACGTGAAGCATCTCCAGCAGATCTTCTAGGTTTTTAGGAAATCGTTCTGTAATGTACCATCTGTAGACATTGTCGAGTCCATTTTCATCACCAAATGACTTCGTAAGCATCTCATACGTTTTTTTGCAGTGACATTTTATTCAAAATACAGCATTATATCAGTTCTCTCTGTCTTCTATGGAGATCTGAAGTTTCTAATTCAACCATTTTTAGTATGGCTGACTTAACTTTGATTCCTCAATGCCTATGTCTTCTGTCAACCGATAGTTTGGTATCGTCATGTATAATGACAAACCTATTGTTGGGTGTGTATAATAACATCACAATCATAAGTAGATCATATCAACTAACATAAACTTTTCAGGATTGATTTACACTCAAATGACATCAAATCCGTATGACTTAACGGTGTCTTTCAAACTCGTTTTGGACAGATGTTCAATACCTTATTGTTATGATTCACGACCTGCTTAAGGTGCCCATACCACGGGTTGCTATGGCAACCGTAACTCCGACATTTAAGTAATATTTGTGCCTCAGATTTTGGAAAAAATGATGAATGTTTGGTGATATGATGTATCAAATTTGCTGTTCTAACTTCAATTAGTTTCTGAGATCTATTTGCGTTATTTGTTGATCGTCCCATGTAATAACACGTCACAAACAATGAAACAAGACACACAGTGATAAATATCGCACTTTGAAGAGCAAACTGGCCACCATGCAATTTACCCAGCATGGCCAAAACCTAATCAGACCTTGGCACTAGTCTGCTCTTGCATCTGTAAACATTTCAAGTTGACAAGGTTAGCGGTTTTCCTGCAATTTTGATGACAAGAATTTATTTGTAGTCTTGAACTTTGGGAAAATTTAGATAACATTGTTTGTGACCTAATTTGATGACCTTCGATCTTGAAAATTTCACTTTTTCAGACCTCGATCAGTAGGTCTTTTGTAATTAAGCTGACCTAAATTTAAATCCACAATATCAATTTAGAAAATCAACTTTTTGACCTTTTCAAGGTCACTGAAGGTGAACGAAAGGTCAAATCTGAAATGAAAGGACTTCCGAAAACGTGTAGATGTTTTTTTTTTAAATTGGTCAATTTGGAGCAAGTTGAAAAATTCAAAATGGCCGCCAAATTGAAAAATTTCAAAATGGCCACCATGTGATTCAGCCAGCATACCCAAAACCTAATCAGATCTTGGCAATAGTCTGTTCTTGCATCTGTAAAAATTTCAAGTTGAACGGATAAGTGGTTTTCCTGGAATTTTGATGACAAGATTTGTTGAAAAATTCAAAATAACCGCCACGTAGTTTACCCAGCATGCCCTTAACCTAATCAGATCTTGGTACTAGTCTGCTCTTGCATCTGTAAAAATTTCAAGTTGAACAGGTAAGCAGTTATCCTGGAAATTTGATGACAAGATTTGGTTTATGTGCCGCCCGCACGCCCGCACGCCCGCACGCCCGCCCGCCCGCCCGCCCGCCCAACAGCACAAGACGACGACAATATAGCACTTTTTCAAAGTGCAATAAAAAGTAAAACTAAATGGTGAATTAAAGGTATCTGCCGAAAGAAGAGCATAATTCTATAGGAAAATTCAGAAGATGTCGTAATACCTGAAGACGGTGGCTCCCACTTATCGTAACCTTTTAGGAGATCCTTCATAACGTCAGCTCTAAAATGATAACAACATATATTACTTTTAATGGAATTTAATTATGTTTTAATATTATTATAATATGATTTTTTATAACTTAAATGATAAAATCAACTGAAAAATAGGAAACATTTTGTAATACAGCGTGTTGCAAATATGAGATTTATGAGAGGAAAATTCCATTCGTTTAAGCATCGAATTATATGGCGATCAAATTATAGAGTTTAATTCAAAAAACAGAAAAGACGTATCCAATGATACAATTGAAATATATCCAAATCATTAACCTGGTAATGTTCTTTTAAATTGGTTTCATAAAAACAATGTACCTTGTTTTCTTGTGATGTCTTATTGTGTGATTTTTTGCTTGAGTAAGCATGCCCATTTTGGCAGCCATTAAAAGGAGGACAACAGACGGCCCATGAATCTTCATTATGTGAACCTCAGATCCAATGGAAGATACGGCGCTAGTATTCATTCATCAACTACCCTGGAAGAACAAAAAACACATCAGATCGAATGAAGAATACAGCGCCAGTATTTATGCATACCCTAAAAGTACAGAAAGAACACATCAGATCATATACAAGAGTGCGTATCCATTTATCAAATACCCTAAAAACTCAGAAAGAACGAATCAATCCAACTCACTATATAGATTTCTCATTTCGGTTGATATTTCTGGAAGAGTAAATTATCTTCTAATTTGGATATAAAATAAGATCAAAATAGCCGAGATTTTATCATTTAGTGATTCTGGTCATTCTCAAGATAGCAGTTGGATTTATCAGGTATGAGTGCTGTGTATTAAACCTCACGTGGCATACAAGGTGTTTGATACAGATATATCGAAGACAGTAATGCACTTTATATATACATAGTTCATCAACCGATCAGTTGGTACGATCGGAGCAATACTTATAATTGCAAAACCTGCCAGGAACTTTGATATGACATAATTAATCAAACATATCTTTCCCTTATGGCATGATTCGACTCATGGTCTTTCGAACAAACAGTCACGTAGCTATTGATATAATGCAGAACGTATCAACAACCCTTGACAGGTATACCCACACCCACATATGCTACTTATGTCATTAGTATTGTAATCATCCATTGATGATTTAAAAAAGATCAAAATATGTTTCTTCACAGATAAGAATATAGTAATTATAATTAACATGCCATCAGCAGGTACCTTAACTTCACAGGGATGTCAACGGTCTGAGAATATATTTTACACGAGCTGTAGCGCACAGATGAAGGTATATTTATAAATAAATGATAACGTCGATATTCCTGGCCTAGCTTTATCCGTTCATTGAGTTGAATCCGTCACTTCGTGCAATAAACTAGTGTTATACTAGTTGAACTTATTATAACAACATGTTATTGTTTTTGTGCCACTTCGTTATCTATGCTGTTATTTCGTTTATTGGTACCGGATTTTCTCGCATATACTCCCCCCTAAATTTAGGCCCATGGGCCAAAAATCGAATGTAGTACGCTTATACGCCCATGGGCCTATAAAAAATGACTATTTATTGATTTTTTCAATAAATTTTGTCACTGGCAGATCGTTCTGTCGTTACTTTGTTTCAACATTAAGTTCAACGCTGTGCCGTAAGTGGCAGTGGTGGATCGTTCTGTTGTTACTTTGTTTCAACATTAAGTCCAAGGTTGTAGGTGACATTTCCTTTATAATTCTTACAAAACATGCGGTAGGACTACAACAGTAGGTACGATAGTCTTTGAGGAACCATTGTATTCATCAGCTCTTCTCACCTTTACGCCCACTGGGCCAAAAATCGAAAGTAGTACACTTATACGCCCATGGGCGAAAAATAAGAGGTAAGATAACAGACGAAATTACCCCTTCTTTCATTTATACGCCCAGGGCTTATATGCGAGAAAATCCGGTATATGTGCCACTTCGTCATCAATGCTGTTAATTCGCACATAACAGCTAAAAAGTATATACTCATCGTTTTCTGACATTTTGTTGTTATTCGATATTCTAAAAAGGGATTATGGACAACTCAAACCCTGGTATTTTTAGGATTTTTATATCATATTATCAATTTATATTTGATTTTCAGAATACTTTCAAATGTTTTTGTTATTCGTTTGATCAGTTTTAACTTATAAAACATATATTAAATTAATAAAGAAGATTTCATCATTAGCATATTGTTGTTCATTATGTGTTCATGTAATATTATATGTTAATGTTTTTCAGAATATTGCTCTTGTTGCCACGATATAAGGGCAAATTCACGATAATTGATATTTTCAAATATAGTCAAATGCTGTTATTCTACCAAAAGCCCGAGCCATGTGTGTTAGTATCAACGACAAATAATGTGTGCCATTCGTTTACTTGTGCTATATTCCTCTCTTGATTATGTATCAGCCTTACCGAAACACGTCGGACCCTGAAAATGTTTGTCATGTGAATTTGATTAGATAGACCAATATACCATACCAGAATAAATATTTGTATTCTTCCCATTATATCTAACATTACTAGCACAAAATTTATTGTGCTTTAATAATGTATCACTGCTTTGCTATATGAGCCAATTTTAGTCACACACTAGTTTACATTACGGCACTACTACACACAAATTCTGCCATGTAATGTAATCGTATACATTCCTCAATTCGAATAGCAGCTTTTAATCAGAAAATATTCATTCATCTTCCTGATACTCTTCAAATATTAAACACGAATATACAAACTTTGATTAGGCTAATCAAACAATGGCCTCGATTGTGACGTACTGTACGTGTATGGTAGCCATGAGTTATGATTTACCCTAAAACGAGGGTCATTACCCAGTTTCATTACCAGAAGCAGTTTGTTTCTTTGCTTGTTTGTTTGTGTTGAACAAGTATTAACTTTTGTGTCATCGTTAGCAGCATGCATTCACGTATATCAATATACTAAATAAATATAAATTTAATGTTACCAAACAAGTTTTTTTCTTTGTCTATAACATGTTAGTTTCTACTAATGCCAAGACGCTTTCGTTTTCTACATCCGCAAAAAGCTATATATTTCTTCCTTTTGACGCCATAGTTAAATTGTGTTCTATGGTACCTACAAAGATATGTATATCAACAGGGTAGCAAGGACACTCGATTTCAATTGTCAATGTTGTTTAAAATGTTGTCTAAAAAGTGAGGTGTCCTTCCACGGAGAGAAGGTAGTTCGATAATTGGACTTCTTTAATGGCCTGTCTATTTTATACAAAATAGCAAAATGAATACCAATGTTAATGCTACCAGGAGGAATTGGACCTGCAGGCCTTACTATTTATACATATTTTTCCTGTTTTGAAAACTTTCAATATGAGATGTATATTTCTTAGTTTCTCAAAATTGTCGTTGCGGATTTATCTATACATCGTTATTTCAATCACCGCCGTCATTTTTCAAACGAGTCACGTTGAAATATCAGAACGTCGTGCTATTCTCAATCTTGAAGAACTAAATGTGGCTGTCATTCACCATTTATTAAGCAGTAAAAAATAGTTTGCTACATTGGTGACAAAATGTTTCCTGTTGAATGTCGAGTCTTTAATCATACGAATGTAATTTTAGGCGATCTGTTTGAATGGGGTGAAATTATCTCTTATGCCAGAGAAGAAGTTTTGTGGGTAATTTTGATCGACACTTCCAGAGAATATGTAAGCACAAATTCCAAAAGGGAAGGGTGACTAAAAACGTTAAGGAAACAAGAAAAGCAAACTGTAAGTGTAAATCTGTCATAAGAAAAGTAGACCCTACATGTATATATCCCAAAACGATGATCTAACGTGAAAAGAAACAATGTCTAACATGCCCCTCCCCCTCCAATCGAGAGCTATTCTCTGGAAATACGTCCAGATAGCAAGATGTTAAAATATAAAGAAGATCAAGCAAACATTCCATGAGTACTAATAAATCCAAAATGGCATGTCGAAAATCCCCATACCGGACCTCTATAGTGTTTGTACCAGCTATCAGGTGATAGCATTTGTTAATCAGTCAAACTAGCTTGTCTGTGTGTCATATCTACTTAATTTATCTAATTCTTACCAAATATCCCAAATCCATTCATTCTCAAAATTCATTGGAGGTGATATTGTTAGAATAAATACGGGGAAAGGGGTTTTGCTTGGAAATGGATTAATAAGTAACTTTTACATTAATATTGGTTTTTGACATATGGTTTTCAGTTCAAAAATACACACATAATATGAGGCCAATCTCTTACATATTCATAACACTAGCAGAAGATACCCTAAAGTGCCTAAAGTAAAGTTTTCAAATAATTTGAACAATCTATTGTTGAGAAATTACTTGTCAAATTGATTCCCATTATTAGTACAAACACTATGAAACTGTTGCTGAGAAAATACTTCAATTAAAATTCCCATCCATTCCCCACCTCCGCCCCACAGTTTTATATACCCTAGTTGTGTATAGAAATATAGTTTATAGTATTATGTACATCCGACACGAAATGCGTTTTGTTCAAGCAGTTCTAGGGAGCATCACAAATGACACATAAACCAACAAGTCAGGATTATACGTAACTATAAGCTATAAACTGTGTCTTCGTCCTAATAGCATTAGGAAGATTACATATGACAAGACAGTCTCTGACTTCTTTGCAATCGGATAATTGGGTTTAGTGTGAGATATACTACTGCACATAAATATTTATCTTAATATCATGTAATATGCATTCATCTTCCTTTCTCTCATACATCAAAATGTTGTTAAACAAACTTGTATTAGACAAGTTAAACAGTGGTTCTTCTGACATTTATTTACACGAAGTAGCATGCAGTGTTAATGCCCTTCTTGTTGTGCCAAAATCTACGACCACCACTCAAATATTAATCTCTCGGGTAAATTGGGGACCAATATCAATAGTGAAATCATATCTTCGAAGCTGTCAGTTGAAAAGTGATTGTGAGCGAATGCGAAATATTACAATTATATCAACAATATTACATGAGCGAGAGTGAGGTTCAAGTGTCTTGTTACAGTCAACTATACAACATATTTTATGAATAACTAATTTTAGATATATTGAATTTCTCTGGCTGTAAAAATAGTAAAACCTAAACAATATTTCAACTTGAGAGAAAATTAAACAAATTGTCACGTTGGAATTAAGGTGTAGTTATTTTGGGTAATGAGGATTAAATGTTGTAATCATCCTGCGACCTTCATTACGGACAAACCCCGTCAATTTAATGGAAAATCTTTGAAATAATCTTGAACATGTTATAATGAAAGCTTTAATAAAGGAATCGGCTTAAATTGGACTCGGAGGCCCGCGAATTATAATTTTTGAGCACGTTTCAATTGATATGGGCCAAACCTTTCAAAGACCCCCCCCCCCTTAGATTTTTTCATAAAATTCAGTATCGTCCGTCAGCTGGTCATGTCCATGGGCCTGCCTTAGTAAAATATGTATATGAGCAGATC